TAAAGGTAATATTGGCCATAGAAAGATTTTTTCGAATTCGTACTTTTAAAGGGAGTAGATACGATATGATATGATTATAAGGGTCTGTTTGTTTGCCTAAAAAAAGTGGGAAATCAAAGAAATGGAAAACTATTTCTAAGAAGAATTGTTTTGGGAGTGTTTGGTTTGCTAAAAAAAAGAAGGAAATCAAAGAAATGGAGATGAGATGAGATGAGTTGTCACCTTAATATAGGATGATGTGAGTGATTTTTTAAGAAAACTTGTTTTGATGTTGTTTGGTTGGCGAAAAAAAATAAGAAAATGAATTATAAGAAACATATTTCTTGTAATAGGTTGTTTTCTTTTGTTTGGTTCATTCTTAAAAATAAGAAAATATATGAGATGAGATGAGTTGTCATTATATTATTGGATGATGTGACCCACACTTAAGGAAATTGTTTTCCTAGTTTTTTGGGAGGAAATGTATGAAAATAAAATGTTAATGAGATGAGATGAGTTGTCACCATCTTATTGGATAGTGTGAGTGATTTGTAATGATGAGATGAAATGAGTTGAGTGATGTTGTGAATAAAAATAATATTTTATTAGATGTGGTGGATGAGTTGTTGGATGAAAATAGTATTTTATTAGATGTGATGGATATGGTGGATGAGTTGTTGGATAAAAATAATATTTTATTAGATGTAGTGGATGAGTTGTTGGATAAAGATAATATTTTATTAAATGATGTGGGTGGATTTTAGGGATGAAAATGGATGAAATCGTATTTTTTAAGTTTTCTTGGTTTTCATTTCTATTTCTTAGTTTTTTAAGAAATAACCAAACATGCCCTAATTAGAATAACACATTAACTAGTATGTACCCCGTGCAAAGCACGGCAGCTTATTTTTTCCTATCATTGTATTTTAAATTTGTCTCTCTAAGTTTTAATACATTTAATTTGATCCTTGTATACTTTAAATTAAAAATTATAAATCATATAAAAATATATGTTACCAAAAATATTATCATCTAATGCTTATACATTCTTGTTCTAAAGAATATAAGGTCAACTCTAAATTTCCTAGTTTAAGAATATAAAATTTAATATATTACTAAATTAGCCGAATATCTCTTTCTAAAGTTTTGTCGATGGCAAAATTTTGCAGCCAATAACTATTCAATAAGTCAAATTATTTTGCTCGAGTGAGGGTTGTTTTGGAAAAGTAAAGTAGCTTAAATTGGTCTTGGTATTATCTATTTTTTCATCTTCCATTTTTCTTGTTGTTCTACAAAAGAAAGTAAGTCTTTATATTTACAAATTCTCTTTTAAGTTGAAATTCCTATGCAATTTATTAATAGTTATTTGTGAACTTGTCCCTTTCTTTCATTGTCATTGTCCCCATTTTTCAATATAACACTGTTTAGAAGGTTAAAATGAGTATGTGAATAAAATGAGTAGTATGCAAATAAAAATATTGATGGATGGCTACTGGTGTAGTGACATGAATACATTACATACAGGTCTCTTCAGATGAGGATAAAATGAGTAGTATGTGAAGTACATGTTTTGGTATGGGTTCTTTTTGTTTGAGCTTAATGATGGATGGCTTTACCAACAATTAGATGGCATTACCTAAAAATTTCCCATTATCTACTTGTTTACATAGTTAGGCATTACCAACAATTAGATGGCAACTGGATAAATTTCATTAGCAGCAGTATCCATTTTTCGTTTTGAGCTAATCAAATGGAAAATATGAAGTATTCTCTAAAAAAAGATCAATTGATACAAACAAAAAGAACTTGCAAGCTTGGAATAGACTTCTCAGATTATTGTTTAAATCGTCCTAAAATAATAAAGACATTAGTCAAAGGTTAAATTTTAATGACTTCTCATATTTAATAATCGTAATTGTAAACTATAGGTGAAGCTCAGAAAACACACCATTGGTGCAGCCCTAATATCATCTCTTGAATTATTCTGACACCTGACTGAAATGCCATCCTGAAATAATGAAATCACCAACAAAACGTTAAATTCAGAATGATTTCTTACCATCAACTATCGGCGAACATATAGATGAACCTAGGAAAACCCACCACTTCTGCATCCCCTGCATTATCTCTTGAATCATTTTGATTCCTGACAGAGGAGTTCGAGGAGTTCTTCTGAACAATTTCATCAACCGAACAATCAGAGGCTTCAACAGAGTCAGATTGACAAAGGATGCTAGTTCTGTAATTACCAGTAAAAAAAAGTTTATGTTGATATTTGTCAGTAACTTTTCCTGACCTCATAATAAATCGAAATTGCTCACTGTTTCAGCACTTCCAACTTCCTAAGCCTTATCTTCTCCAAAACAGACGATATTGGCTTCTGAACCAAAGGGACGGGCTTAAATGAAGCATCTCTTGTTTCTTGTTCAGAAGAAACTTAAAAGTTAATGAAATAATCAAATCAATTTGATATTTAGACACTATAAGTGACAATGAGCTATAGATCAAAACTGTATCTAGCTAAGACAAAATGACGATTTTAGGTTCCATAATAACAATAAGTAAAAAATTTGTTGAAAAGATGAAAGGTCAAGAAAAACCATAGGAAAAGGTGAAGCTCAGAAAACATATTTAATAATCATAATAACAATAAGTAAAAAAAATTTAATGACTTCTCATATTTAATAATCGTAATTGTAAACTATAGGTGAAGCTCAGAAAACACACCATTGGTGCAGCCCTAATATCATCTCTTGAATTATTCTGACACCTGACTGAAATGCCATCCTGAAATAATGAAATCACCAACAAAACGTTAAATTCAGAATGATTTCTTACCATCAACTACCGGCGAACATATAGATGAACCTAGGAAAACCCACCACTTCTGCATCCCCTGCATTATCTCTTGAATCATTTTGATTCCTGACAGAGGAGTTCGAGGAGTTCTTCTGAACAATTTCATCAACCGAACAATCAGAGGCTTTAACAGAGTCAGATTGACAAAGGATGCTAGTTCTGTAATTACCAGTAAAAAAAAGTTTATGTTGATATTTGTCAGTAACTTTTCCTGACCTCATAATAAATCGAAATTGCTCACTGTTTCAGCACTTCCAACTTCCTAAGCCTTATCTTCTCCAAAACAGACGATATTGGCTTCTGAACCAAAGGGACGAGCTTAAATGAAGCATCTCTTGTTTCTTGTTCAGAAGAAACTTAAAAGTTAATGAAATAATCAAATCAATTTGATATTTAGACACTATAAGTGACAATGAGCTATAGATCAAAACTGTATCTAGCTAAGACAAAATGACGATTTTAGGTTCCATAATAACAATAAGTAAAAAATTTGTTGAAAAGATGAAAGGTCAAGAAAAACCATAGGAAAAGGTGAAGCTCAGAAAACATATTTAATAATCATAATAACAATAAGTAAAAAAAATTTAATGACTTCTCATATTTAATAATCGTAATTGTAAACTATAGGTGAAGCTCAGAAAACACACCATTGGTGCAGCCCTAATATCATCTCTTGAATTATTCTGACACTTGACTGAAATGCCATCCTGAAATAATGAAATCACCAACAAAACGTTAAATTCAGAATGATTTCTTACCATCAACTACCGGCGAACATATAGATGAACCTAGGAAAACCCACCACTTCTGCATCCCCTGCATTATCTCTTGAATCATTTTGATTCCTGACAGAGGAGTTCGAGGAGTTCTTCTGAACAATTTCATCAACCGAACAATCAGAGGCTTCAACAGAGTCAGATTGACAAAGGATGCTAGTTCTGTAATTACCAGTAAAAAAAAGTTTATGTTGATATATGTCAGTAACTTTTCCTGACCTCATAATAAATCGAAATTGCTCACTGTTTCAGCACTTCCAACTTCCTAAGCCTTATCTTCTCCAAAACAGACGATATTGGCTTCTGAACCAAAGGGACGAGCTTAAATGAAGCATCTCTTGTTTCTTGTTCAGAAGAAACTTAAAAGTTAATGAAATAATCAAATCAATTTGATATTTAGACACTATAAGTGACAATGAGCTATAGATCAAAACTGTATCTAGCTAAGACAAAATGACGATTTTAGGTTCCATAATAACAATAAGTAAAAAATTTGTTGAAAAGATGAAAGGTCAAGAAAAACCATAAAATATAATTAAAATATGATGAATTACAGACCCATCAAGGGAAAATAAGGTTTTCATATTCGATAAGTTTGAAAGAATTAGATATCTCATTTGTGCATTCAAGATATATACAACATCAAGCAACTGGAGTTTTCGAGTACCGCATTTTCTCAAGTATTTGTCCATTTGCTCATTTTGTGTGTTGAGGTTTGAAAACAAAAATGTCCATGGATGATCAAATCCTTTTGCATAACTCAAGAGCTGAGTTATTGAATGTAAATAGGGAAGACATCCTGAAAAGAAATAAGAATACAAAGATACGTATAAAGAAGGTACATTTCCAAGCATACAAAAGTTATAATTTTCAGTATGTATACATCTAAAAATGAATGGCAATTGGCAACCTATAGGAAATGCATTATTTCATAGTAAGCATCACAATTATAATAACTATTTTGAAGAAAAATATAAACTGGACATGTAGAAAATCATGTCCTAATTAGAATAACACATTAATCATTCTCAATATAAAAAATTATAAAATACTATTAATTTATATAATATGTTTATTATTTTATAATATAATACTAAGGGTAAAAGAAACTCATACGAAAAATAGAGGCCTGCTCAAATCTTCGAAAAATACTCTCCGTGAAATATCACATCCTTGTCAAATCAAGATTTTTCAAGTTTTGAGAGAGTAATCATAACCCCTCTCGTCTAATCCAATACAATAGTTCTTTTTAACAAAGATAATTATAAATAAATAATAAGTTTATTTTCTCCATTTCAAATCAGAGTTAAAATAGTACGTGCTTCTATTTGGTAGGCCGGCGCGCTCAGCAGTGTCTTCGGAATCCGAAGGGTTCGGGGCAAAAAATCCGTAATTAAGATGGAAGCTAGAGGCAATTTAGCTGTGAGGTTTTAAACCCATAGACCCTTTTTTATTTTCCTGCACGATCAAAAAGGTTTCCATGAGGAACCAGTATCAGAGGGAGACGAAAAGAAAGAAACTGAACGAGAGGAGGAAGAAGATGATGAGGAGGAGGAGGGAAGAAGAAGAGGAGGAGGAGGAGGAGATAACAGTGAAATGGGCAAAGCATTACTCCTCTATTCATCAAATACTAATTGTTGGAGATGGCGATTTCTCTTTCTCTCTCTCTCTTGCATATGCTTTCGGCTCTGCTTTCAACATTGTTGCAACTTCTAAGGACTCTTACGGTATATTTTCTCCATTCCTCTTAAATTCTTCGCCCATTTCCATTTATATTCATATATTCTCCTTTTGTTTTTTTTTAAATGGGTGGGTTGTATTTTCATCGATAAGTACTTTAATGGGTCCCTTTCCTTTTAGGGTTTTGGTTACGTAGATGGTCTCGTGGCCATTTCTCTTCGCTCTCAATCTCATACTGATGATTTGAGATGGGGTCTAATGTTATTTAATGGGTATTTTGTATTTTTCATGTTTCTGGGGATTTTTGCGGCCTTTTTTTCTCGCGCTGATGTTGAAATTCTGAAATTCTTATGTCCTGTTTTGAATGTGATCTTGCAAGATGATTATGTCGAATGGAGAATTTTGATTTGCTGATACCCTTTTCTATTCAATTGCTGACATTTTGCGGAGGCAAATGATTGTTCTTTTTTTTTAAAGCTCGCGTAGTTTGTAGGGAATGAGTTTCTTACTTTGTAATTCTAGAAGTTGGCCGACTTGTTTTAGATTGGGAAGACAAATTTTAATGACAATTTTTTATCGATACTGCTATGGAAAATGATGGGTTAATTTATTAAACCTGGGTTTTCTCTTGCTGGTGTTGTTCCCAAATAATGTATGTTATACATGGATTATTACACGTGTTCCCAGTGAGATGAATGTCCTTTTGACTGTATGTTTTTTGGACTGTTGGCTTTTTTATTCCTTATCTTGCTTGTTAACTTTTGAATGGATTTCTCTACTTTCTTTGTTCTAGCAATGATTTGGATGACATTGGTTTGCTTTTCCCCCTCAAGAATTAAGTTGTTCTAGACTCATAGCATGTTAGTTTGTTGCGCATATTATTGTTTATGGACCTGATTTACATGGAAAATACGTATCATCGGGATCCAAAATTGGATGTCTAGCCCCATAGAAGGAAACGCTATGATATAAATGTGTACCTTCAGCAGCCTATCATTTATTATCCAAAAGAGAGAAATAGAGACAGCGTGGAGGTGGGTTTAGGGTTGCAAGATTGACTGCGATCATTCGTTGATTATTAGTGGAATCCTTACCAGGTTGTACTTCGAGAACGTGGGCAATCACATTGATTGCTCATTAAACTTTTTCTCTCTGTGATTATTTATCTGTCATTCGTTCTTTTTATCATCGATCAGTGGTCAGGTTTTTCGCTGTGTTCCTAACGCGTATCAGATTGTTGTTTGCATTATGTCTGTTCAACACCATTGTAAGTTGAAAACTTGAATTTGTATACTGGCTATTGAAGAAAGTATTTATAGTTTTGGAACATGGGACTATGTCAATGTCCTCCTCCCCGTGGACCTTTCTTATTCTTGCAAGAAGGTAACTGCTCTCTCAGACATAGTATACTTAAAGCTAGTTTCTAAATCTAATGAACTCACAAACTCATTACACTCTCTGTTTTAGCAAGATGATGCGGACAAATAGGTCATATCTTTGTTATGATTCTTTGTCATGATTCACTTCCTCCACTTATGTGAGCTCGTTACGCTCTGTCTTCATGAATTTCTTGAAATTTGCTTCCAGATTATCTTGGTTCAAATTTTTAATTTTTCCAAATGGTTGGGGAATGCGTGCAAGCATAAACCTTGATGACAAAGTCTAATTATCCCTTATATTATGCACCAATTTTCTAGTAGCCCTTATGTTTTTTAGCAAATAAGCCCTCAAAAGTTTTCATTAAATGTCATTCTTTTTTCTTTCTTAGCCCATAGCCGTAAAACCTCAACTTGGAAAGGGTATTTTTGTAATATTGTAAAGCCTTTTGGAGGGAAACATGCAGATGCAATGTTATATAAACCATGATGCACAAGTAATCTAGTGAAATCTCAAACAATTTGAACACAAAAAAAGCACCACTTCATTTCACTACCTTCAAATACATTTTGCAGCAACCATCATCAATGACCATTTCCCACAAATGGAATGGAAAAATGGGAGAGTTGGAGGGAAATAGGGGAGTTCCCTCTAAAAAAACTACAACATGATAAAAGTACCTCTTCCAAGTTGAGGTTTCACAAGGGCAAGTTAGACTTTGTTCTCCATAAACAATATTTCTGAAAATGAATACATTGTAAATATGCCATCCATTCCCCAACTCCCTGTGTCACTCCATATAAAAAAATTATTACGATTCTCATATAGTCACAAAATGTTCATGTTCCTTTCTTTTTTGTTAAGTGATAACGAATATTGAGATCTCCTTCTATTTTATGTTGAGTCAGAAAATGTAAAGGTCCAAACTAGGCAGAGAACTTTGTCTCCCATGTTCAAGATACATTCACAGAATTTTATTGAATTGCCATTATCTAACTGACTATTGTCCCCTTCTTTGTTTTTTGTTTTCTGTTTTTGTTTTTTGTTTTTGTTTTTGTTTTTGGTTTTTTTGGGGATTTACTTTGCAATTGCCCTCAAAAGCTGTTGTAGTTGCTCTAATTATTTTTTACCTTATGTTTCTTCTATACTTTACTGTCATACAACTTTTTCCTGCTAACACTGTTCATTTTGAGAAGAGGATAGCAATTTCTGTGTTCAGTTACATTTCTTAGATTGAAATCTCTCATGAGGTAGTTAACCCTTACAATTACTGATATGTGTATTTCACTAATCCTATTTGTCCTACCATTGGTCTCATCTATTTCCATGATGGAGAAACTGCTCTTTGTTAGGTTCTATTTTCATTTTAAATTCACCCCAGTACTTCTTATGTTCGTTTGCAATAGTCCTTCTGTAAATAGAAATGTTATGTTCGGTGTTTCTCTTCTATATCTCCCTTTGCGTACATGCATCTGCTTTCTATGGCGTTATTAGTGATTTGATAATATATTTGATAACATACATTAATTGACATATTTAGATTCAAATTACATTTTGTTTTGTGGATTATGGAGCAGCTGTATGCTATATTCTATTTTACAGGAGTTTGATGAAGGCAGTGATGAGGTGATGAAAATAGTTGGACAATTATTTGTTTTATCTGGGTTTCTTTTTCTTTTGTGCATGATTTTTACAATTGTTAACAAGTGTACTGTATAAAAATCACATGGGAAAATATTCATGACTTCTTAAATGTTGGAAGCATAGCACTTCCTATCAATTACTTCTAAGATATAACAGTATTTTTTTTCTTAAACAGTTTCTGTGTTAAAGAAGTATAAAAGGGCGAAATCAAATTTGCAATGTTTGAAGGAACTTGGTGCTACAATTTTGCATGGAGTTGATGCCACGAAGATGAAATACCACACTGAGTTGAGGATGCAGAAATTTGATAGAATTGTTTTCAACTTTCCTCATGCTGGCTTCAAAGGAAAGGAAGATAACATGCGAGTAATGAAGTATGTTGTGGTTGCCTTTTCTCTTGCTTATTATTGAAGTCATAAGTGACTTACTACATTTCCAAGTTCATTACTAAAGCATAACTATCTATTTTCAAGTTTTTTCATTTTCATTATATGTCTAGCCATGCAAGTATCATGCATATTTAGGATAAATTTCACAAAAAGCATTTTGTACAAAATTATATGAATTTTGTAGATCATAGAAATGCCCTTCTGAACTTGTTCCACTTTTTGAGTGCTATGACCGACAACAATTACTTTTAAGTTTCACATGCTTTATATATGAGAAATTTTGGGCATTTTAATCCCTATCTGCTAAATATAACTTCTATCCTTCTATGTTAGCCTTTTCATATAGGGATATGTAAGAAATAAAAAAAGGATAGTTTAGACTCTTTACGCTATTCGTTAACATTGTTTATGAGAGCTTCGACAGTACAAGGGGGTTATTATTATTTGCAAGTTCAGGAGTTTTTCTATGATTTATAAAGTTCAAGGGGGTTTAGTATAATTCACCCACTTTATTCTATGCAATTAGTTGAGTTTCTGAGTAGCATGTGAACATTAATTTCTGCTTGACCATGCCCCCGAAAATAAAACCAGCTACTCTGAAGCTTTCTTAAACTGCTCTTCTTCATGTCAGTTACCAGTTGATATGTTTCTAAAATTTCAACCATAGATTTATACACCGTGAATATTACGAACTTTATACTGCTCATTTATGCAGTTTTATTTTGCCTCTATGCTTATATGTCAAATAACTATGTTAAGTATGTTCTTACAAGTACTAACTGCTACAAATTTTCATTCTCTAGTCTACACAAAAAGCTAGTTAACGGTTTCTTCAAGAATGCAAGTCGCATGCTTCGACCATATGGGGAAGTTCATGTCAGCCACAAGGTCGAGCATCCTTTCCATAAGTGGAATCTAGAAGAACTCGCTTCTAAGAGTTCTCTCATTATGATTGAATGCACCAATTTTAGCATCGAAGACTATCCAGGGTACAACAACAAAAGGGGAGATGGTTCCAGATGCGACCAGCCCTTTCGTCTTGGTGAATGCAGGACTTTCATGTTTAGGATTGGAGATATTCACAAGAAAAAGAGAGCAGAAGAAATTGCAGTCTCTAATCCTCGTCCGTTAGAAAGCTTTGTCAGTGAGAATCTGCCTCCTATTTTCCTTTATGATGTTAAAGGCATTGGGAGTACAATTCACTATCCACTGAGGATTGGAGCTAGCAATTTACGCACGAGGGAGCCTTCTAATTATGGTTTTGATGCATGTCAAGAGTTCTGGGGCTTTGAGTACCCTTTGAATGGCAGTTATGAACGATATATGAATGAAGCACATAGATACAGTGAATCTGACTACTTAAATCGCATGATGAGGTAAGTAGGCAAAGCTTTTCGAGGGAAGCATTGGTTCGAGGTTCAATTCCAGATTATAGAGATGAGGAAGCTATTAGTTAAGGCTGACAAGTTCTCTTTATTAGGCGTAGGCAACTTTTGTGATGGAGGAATGTTCATCAGTGCAGGAATTCATCTGCATTGGATGAAAGCTTTTGGTAGTGCATCTACAGGTCGCAACATTTTGATGTAGAGAGTGCTCCCATTTTGTTGTGTATGGAAGTGGGGGAGCAAAATGTTGTCACCTGTGAATTGTACTTTTGTCTTGGGCAGTCAGGTTGCCTTTGTTTTGCCAATATCTTTAGCTGTTCTTTTTCTCTTTTCACCTCTTAATATTTTGGACTAGTGCAAATCCAAGAACTGACGTTGAGCTCCCTCTTCTTGTAGCAGCCGTTGGTATTTTAAGCTATTACTTGTTACAATGATCCAAGGGGTTGCCAGATCTGATCATAGGTTTTGTTGGGTACGGGCATTGATTCGTTTGAGGTAAAGAGGGCTTTGATCGGAGGCGACGAGGGGCTTGCTGGATGCCATCATTGTTCGTCAGACTTGACGAGGGGGTTATATGTATTATATTTTATATTTCTGTTTTTCTAGAAATTATATTTATGCGAGCCTTCATATATGTTTGTAGCTTTCCAATTAGTAACGTATGTCATATTATCTTTTTAGTAGAACTCTAGGGGATACACCTCACAGCTTCCCTCAATAAAACCGACAGGAAGTAGAAACACGATGTACGTTTCTCTTTCATTATATTCCATACCGTCTGTATTTGGATTCAAATTTTGCTCCGATGAATATTTAGTTTAGTCTCGGTCATCCAATTAATAAGCAAGTCAATAAATAACAAAGCTAAAATTCAACTAGACTCTCTCGTGTTCACTTAGAATAAACTCAATTAACGAATAAGCAAAATGAGAAGTTTTCTCATACGCATTTTTTATTCTTTTTCACATGAACACTCGTATATAGTTTTTGTAGTCTCACATTCTTATCTATACTATATATTAAATCTCTATCCTTTGGAATTGTCACTTGGCAAAAGTTCCACTTGGCAAAAAATAGGTTTTCTCTCTCTCTCTCTTTCTACACGTCGTACAAGGTTTGTTCATCTTTTGTAGTAAATTTTATTTTCTTAAATAAATAATAACCAATATTGGAGGAGTTTGATGCTTGGGGATCTCTCAGACTTCAATCCTAGACTTCCCCATAATTAACATCTAATGTTTTCTTTTTAACAAATTCACCTCAAAAAATTGTCTGCCTCCCACATTTGAAAATTGAGAAAATTTGGTGGGACTGCACAAGCATTTATCATGCAATGGTAAAATTCTTTCTCAGCTACCCAGTTAGTTTTCAAATTTCAAATTTTAAGTTTAGTTATAGTTCTAATTAATGCACCCATATCAATCTCCAATCAATTTTCTGTTCAACTTTTCATTCTCAAATGACCTTACATCTTCTGCTTCCATTCATCTTCTCTTTCATTTATTACTTTAAATTTTTATTTCTTAAACCATGTTTTTTTTTAATTTTTCTCGAGTTTTGAAACATCTCGATGCCCTTTCTCATTCGTAATTGAGCCATATATAGCATCTAAGGTTTAAAAAAAAAAAGACTAAGGTCACCACTTACTTGGCCTAAGACTTTAGTTTTAGAGATGAAAAATTCCTCAATGACCCAAAATATGGGACCAATAGGGGGGACAAGTGAGGTGTCCCCCTCTTATTGGATAATGAGCTGGCCATCATTAATGATGGCCAACTCCTTATCCAATAAGAGGGGGACACCTTACTTGTCCCCCCAATTCCTGTAGCAAAGCTCTTTAGAGATCTTTAGCTTCGTTACTTCAATTAATTAGAAACCACTTCTTTAACAAACACTACCTTCCTCATGGCAGAAGAATTAGATATCAACAGAGGGAAGAGCAAGTATAGGTTGTTAATTCAAAATTTTTAGATTAGCGATTTGGTTCTTTTTGATAAGCTTCTGATATATTTTTCTTTCTTTGTTTGTGTTAACAAGTTTTGGAGATGAGCTGCAAGGATCCTAAGGAAAGGGCAGTGTTTAGTTGTATACCTGTAGTAGTATGGTGCTTTAGATGATATGACAACAATGATCTAGCATAAATATTATGACTGATATAGAATATATGTTAAGATAATCCCAGTTTAGTAGTTGAAGTGAGAAAAGGCAATGAGCTCTTATATAATTAACTTAAATCTAAAATGATTTTACTCTTATATATGTGAAAGAATGCATCATTGTGCTCTAAAGGTTCATAATTTTTTCAGCTTTACTTATTTTTTGAATAGTAAAATTTTATGTTTGTTTGTGGTTTATATGTCCTATATGTTCTCCCTCTAACATTTACGTCTAGGTTTTAAAACACGAATGCATGACCTAGAGACTTTAGGAAGGAACCTTGACCGAAAATTGATTGCATGTAAGGAGAGACTATTGAACAGATATTGTGTTCGCAGGTTTGTTTTCATGCACTCGATCTTTTGTTCTTTTTCCAAAATTGTGGCTCTCATTTATCTCCATTATTGCTGTTGTGTGTTGTGAAGAAGGTGGATGAGTCTTATGTTAGCTTTTAGGTTTTACGGGCATAAATGTCAAGACAAGTGAGGTGTCCCCCTCTTATTGGATAATGAGCTGGCCATCATTAATGATGGCCAACTCCTTATCCAATAAGAGGGGGACACCTCACTTGTCCCCCTTATTCCTGTAGCAAAGCTCTTTAGAGATCTTTAGCTTCGTTACTTCAATTAATTAGAAACCACTTCTTTAACAAACACTACCTTCCTCATGGCAGAAGAATTAGATATCAACAGAGGGAAGAGCAAGTATAGGTTGTTAATTCAAAATTTTTAGATTAGCGATTTGGTTCTTTTTGATAAGCTTCTGATATATTTTTCTTTCTTTGTTTGTGTTAACAAGTTTTGGAGATGAGCTGCAAGGATCCTAAGGAAAGGGCAGTGTTTAGTTGTATACCTGTAGTAGTATGGTGCTTTAGATGATATGACAACAATGATCTAGCATAAATATTATGACTGATATAGAATATATGTTAAGATAATCCCAGTTTAGTAGTTGAAGTGAGAAAAGGCAATGAGCTCTTATATAATTAACTTAAATCTAAAATGATTTTACTCTTATATATGTGAAAGAATGCATCATTGTGCTCTAAAGGTTCATAATTTTTTCAGCTTTACTTATTTTTTGAATAGTAAAATTTTATGTTTGTTTGTGGTTTATATGTCCTATATGTTCTCCCTCTAACATTTACGTCTAGGTTTTAAAACACGAATGCATGACCTAGAGACTTTAGGAAGGAACCTTGACCGAAAATTGATTGCATGTAAGGAGAGACTATTGAACAGATATTGTGTTCGCAGGTTTGTTTTCATGCACTCGATCTTTTGTTCTTTTTCCAAAATTGTGGCTCTCATTTATCTCCATTATTGCTGTTGTGTGTTGTGAAGAAGGTGGATGAGTCTTATGTTAGCTTTTAGGTTTTACGGGCATAAATGTCTAGACTTTGTTTTTCAATATAATTGATTTCTTTTTCTGTTTATGATTTGCTCAATTTGTTTTCGAATTTATATAAACATTCCAATTGCTTGGTGACAATGATTTTGTTATGGATATGTATACTTGATATATTGTGTGCATGCATGTGTGAATTAAAACTTGATGTTGCTATTTAGTGTCGCACCATGCTATATTCTTAAGAGGTAATTGCATATTCCCTTAAATAATCCATGAGCTTTGGCCATCAGCTATTCATAATTAATGACCTGCTTCTTAGCAAGTGAGTTGGCCAATTCGTTATTTTGCAGGCCGGCCACAAGAGCGGACTGTTGGAGACGTGCTAGTGGGGTCCACCATGTGATGAAGTGGAGAAAGGATCACGCGTTTTGGTTTTCTCTCATTGCGGACATCAATGCATTGGCCCACCCGAATAAGCTATAGCCTATATATAGTTTTTTAATTGTGCCCTAGGGTTTTGTGTGGCAAGTTGAGGGGTTCTTTTGGCGGCAGCAAAAGAAAAGAGCAGGTGCAAGGTGGGTTTTCTTTTTGCTGGCGGCTACAAAGGTGAGCAAAGGACGACTTGGGGAAAAGTGAGGGTTTTGCAAGGGAGTTTTTTTGATTGGCGGCTGCAGTTGCGTGGAGCAAGAAAAATTGGCTTTTTCTTTTTCTTTTCGACTGCAGCAAGTGGCAGAGAGCAAGGACAGACTTTGGCGACTATTCACAGAGAAAAGCAAAGTCTTAGTGCAGTTGTTCTTTGATTTGTGCTCCCCTTTTTTGAGAGAGATAATTGTGTGAGGGATTTGAGAGTTTGTGTGAGGGTTTAGATTGAGTGATTGTAAACCCCAGTTGTATTCTCTCCCTCTAATAGTAGATATCCCCCCTCCTTGCCCCGTGGACGTAGGCGATTTGCCGAACCACGTAAAATTTGTGTTCTTGCCGTGATTTGTAATAGCTTGTAGGTTCCCTCGACGCGCAGTCCTAGAGCTGACGAGAGGAAGAGCTGATATCTCACTTTGATGAGATATATGGCTTTCGGTTCTTGTTTCCTTTGAGAAACGAGAATTCCGTTGTGATCTAATCTCTTGTTGTGCACCTTGCGCACCGGAGGTGCTGCCGAAATTTCCGCTGCGCACAACAAGTGGTATCAGAGCTCCGGGTTAGACTTGGGAGCTTGTTTGAAGGATTCGCTGAAGGATTCTTATTTGAAGATTAGATCGACAATATGGGTGAAACAAGCACATCGGGATCGTCTCTTACGAAGACGATACATAGTTTGAGCATCAATAACATGAAGATTGATGTTCCGAAGTTCGACGGCAAGATTAATTTCGGATTGTGGAGGTGTCAGGTGATGGACGCCTTGGACGCTCAGAATTTGGAGGAGACTCTTGAGTTACAAGAGAAACCTGTCGAGATGGAAGCTAAGGTTTGGAAGAAGATGAATAGTAGGGCGTGTGAAGTTATTCGGTCATGCTTGACGTCGGATCTTATTTATGACGTGATGAACGAGACGTCGGCGAAGAGAATGTGGGAAACACTCAATGAGAAGTATCTGACGAAGAGCATTGAGAATCGGCTTCACTTGAAGAAGAGGTTTTACCAGTTCAAGATGAAGAGGGGAGTTTCCATTAGGGAGCATGTTAATAACTTCACAAAGCTACTTTCAGACATGGCTAATGTGGATATCATGGTTGAGGATGAAGACAAGGCGATGCTACTTTTGTGTTCGTTGCCCGAGGATGATTATGGTACTTTTGTCCTAACTATGATTAATGGAAGAACTACTGTTAGTTATAAGGAGGTGACCTCAGCATTGGTGAATTATGAGTTGAGGAAGAGTGTTGATGAGTCCTCCGAGAAGGCATCGGGAGATGCATTAGTAGTTCATGGTCGTGGTTCAAACCGAAGCAGGAGGTCACGGTCTAGATGTGCACATCGTGGGATTCATAGGAATCAATGTGCCTTTTGTAAAGAGGATGGACATTGGAAAGCCGAATGCCCAAAGTTAGATCGAGCCGAGAAGAATAAGGGGAAAGCTGTACAAGCTTCAGAGGTGAATGTTGTCAAGA